AGAGTGTTATGGTATTTTCTATGGTTATTTTAAACTGTTCTTGAGAAAAACGACACCATGCATTTCCAAACATTCGGTCTACCTACGCTGTAAAATGTATTATCTCTTCGATTTACACACGGCATCTATTGCACGTCTGTCCGTCCTGGGAGAGGGATCCCTCCTCTGTTGCTCTCCCTGAGGTTTCTCCCATGTTCCCCTTTAAACTGTGGGTTTTTCTCCAGAAGTTTTTCCTTGTACGATGTGAGGGTCTAAGGCAGTGCTTGAATTGGGCCGGTACTCACCGGTACGCAGATGCACCCCCATCATGAAATGCCCCCCTTGTCACGGGAACGCGCATTTCTAAATGACACGTTTACACCTTAAAACGATGTTTAAAACGAAAAGTAAACGTTCAGGGTTTTTATTAATGGTAATTGTCAGACTGTGAGTTGTTTAGTGGTAGCTCATATAGTCTTGATTCTTGTGGTTAAACTTTTCGCTCCGTATTTGATGGTAGTGGTGTCGAAATTCATTCGTCACTTCCTTTTCAGTTTTTGTTTTTTTTAATCTTTTTTGTTCTTCTTATTATTGTTACGTCCTGTCTGTATACACATGCTTTAAAATGTATTGTTTAATTTAATATATTTGTCATATAATAATCAAAATGTTAGTTTACAAATGTTACATAGTCTTTGTCAGCATATTTTTGCCACGTTATGCACCCCTTGCTATCTTACATAATAAAAGTGTCACATTCATGAAACTTGCTCCATTCATTGGTACTAGTCCTACAACTATACCCTGAAAAATGCTTGAGGGTGGGATTAATAGAAACATCTTTTTTGGGGGGGGGGGGTGCATTTTATGACAGGCCTGGTTTATCATCCGAGTCAGAAATAAAACAAATCTGGAGTGAGGGCTAGTCCTGCAATTGTCCAACACATTTTTACACACAGTAATTAATAATACAAATTATTCAAAGTTAATGTAAACTTTTGAATAATGTACTTCATCTACAAGTAGTTTGTTTGAATGTAATAATTATGTTGTTTGTTGTTTGTGGAATCATTTATTGAAAAATGAATCTGAATTTTTCGATCTGTTACGATTATAAACTGAAGCAATATAAAAATGAGCCCCATTAACTGAGTTTTAAACATCAGCATATCCGGTCATAGTCCGGTAATTACCTGCTAACGGAAACTCTGCTGCAATTCTTATTATTATGATTGAAACATGACCGGTAAGTTTCAAATTTGTCCGGTAAAATAAATTCTGTCCGGACATTTGACCGGCGTGAAAAAATCCTAGCGGAAACCCTGATGTACAGCACTTTGGCTCGACCAAAAATAGTTTAAAAACGTGCTATATAAATAACACTTGATTTGATTTGATTCTTTATTAAGGTTCCTTAATACATTTTTCTAACTTATTTGAGTTTTTAAATGTTATTTCCTTCTACTAGCACACTCCTTGTTTTATATACATGTAATCTCTGTCATCCTACAGTACCTGGTGTCGCTGATAGAGAGCAAGCTGGGCTGGATTCAAGTCTTCTACTTCTTCATCGCCATGGTGAGATAATGTCCACCTATCACAGCAGTCCTTTTAACTGAAGACATTTCCACAGTAGGGAAAGCACAGGTGTAGATGATAAGGGTCGTTAATGAACACAGCCATCGTTAGTATCGTTAGTAAACACTTGTACACTTCAAAGCAGAGCCATCGTTGGTAAACACCTGTGCACTTCAAAGCAGAGCCATCGTTAGTATCGTTAGTAACACCTGTGAACATCAAAGCAGAGCCATCGTTAATAACACCTGTGCTTTTCAAAATGTCGGTTGTTGAAAATTCCCTGTCTGTTTTTACAATATATTGGCATGAATATTACTTTGTTTTGCCAATTCTTACTTACTATAATAATGTGACTAGTCTTTTTTTCCTTGGTTCTAAAGTACATTTTAATTTCGGGCTCATAAACCAATTTATTTTGCCAATTTTTCATCACTTTTCTTTACTGTGTTGTTGTAGTGTGTCCTCTTGCAAACCCTTGTGTAACTTTCCTTTTATTTCCTGCTACAGACGGCGGGCAGCATTGTGTTCATCACTCCTTTGCTCCACAAAGAGGTGCGTGAGATGTGGAGAGAAAGACAAGCGCTGCGTCGCCAGCTGTGAACGCTCCATCATCCTGTCAGCTGTAATGTTGCTACTCTTATCGAGTGGCAACGCAGCTCACAATCTGCTCATTTTAGGTGAGTTTTGGGAGATGGAAAAATTGGTGGGCTGTTGTTCCACACAGCCAGGACGGTTAACACCCATGGGCGCAGTCACAGAGCACAACACTGCAGTCTTATCCTGTCACTAAAAGCCTAAAAGTGTAAATGCTCAATTATTTTAGTGTGAAAACAAAGATATGAAGTTTAAACTGAATGCCGGTTTTAAAAGAATATACTTTTTAAATGGACTTTGCTGTCCAATCTGCGCCATCACACTACTACTGTACATATTTAAGGATTTAAATGGATGTAGAAATAAGATTGGCATTTTAGATAAGAAGTTCTTAAGTTACTTTCAGTTGCCTGAAGAATGTGAATAATAATTGTAATGTATAAATTGATTGTCAGCTTTTGTAGATATGTATGATATTTTTTGTCCAGATGAATAACATTGCACTGTAGTCCAGTAATAAGTCTTAAAGATTTTAATGAACCACTCAGACCTTAGCAGGGTTTTGGGAAGCTTTACACGCGCGGCCGGCCACTTGATTTCTCTTGTGTACAGTTTTGTGTAATCAGGTTACTGTATAAGGGGACTGGTTCTCTCATTTCTCTTTATAATATATGTCAGTCAGGGATTGATATATGCTTATTCCTTTTTTAAGTTTCAGTGTCTTACGTCACACGCAGTTGTTTTAAAAAACACTTTCACAAACACCCTTTTAACTGACAGAAACACATTTCTGTAGAAAAACCCACGTCTCACATTTAGTTTACAGTGTAGCATGCCTATTGCACATTTAGGTGTGAACTGCATACTGACATTTTAGAAAAAACACAATTTGTTTCTTGTGTGAAGTTGCACGTTTGTTGGGGGGAATCTGTGTTTGAACAGATTTATTATATTTTTAATGTAAAACACTTAATTATTTCTAAGTTTGAGTGGGGAAATGTTCATGAAACACCAGCTTTATGCGAGTTAATGTCTTAGCAGTGTCAAAAACCAGCCTTCATTTTTAAGCAAGATGATTTTGGTTGAAATCTGTAAAAAAGAGACTTTAATTTGTGATTTTATAGACCACTATAGCCAACAGAAAAACCAAGTCGTTTTCTCCCCTGCTTATAACCACTTTAAGTGCTTTTAACATCTGGAAACGTTGACATCAGGGCTTCTTCGTGCCATCATCTGTGATGTGAGACGTGTTCCTCGCACTAAACCAAGAGCCTCGGAGCTAAAAATGAGTCTTGACCTTGTGTAAAAGAATGTAAATTGAAACCTATGTGGAATGTGTTACACTATCTGTTGTGTCTTTTAGTTTTATCTTTATTTATGTGTACTTTTTGACTTTTAACTGATGTAAATTCAAATTTTCATTTTAAATAAATGCGAATTACATTTTGTAAATTGTGTGTAATGTATAAAATACAAATGGGGGGATTTTTTTTTTAAATTAATTTTGTTCTATTGTTTTCTTTTAGGGTTTTTTTGGTATATTTCCAGGTAGTTGACTGTGTGCAATGTCACTGCAGTCCACCAGGGGTCGCTATAAGTGAAGAAACTGCCCTTAGTAATACATCCATGCCTAACAACTAAAACCAGAGTGGAAACAAAAACTTCAGACCAGCATTTTGTAGTTTATATGAATCTCATTCATTCATTTTATTATTTAGAGCACGCTATATGAAATCGACACATTTTAAAGGCATTTTACAAAGCACCAACAACCCAGCAATACATCTTTACAATTATTATCAAAAAGGATATGATCCTACACAAATACACTGCTTACATGAAAGGGGGCATAAGCCAGCATTAAATTATTACAAAAGTTGTACAAAGATTATCATACATTCATGCATATACAAAAACAAATAAGGCTACACTTCGATATAGCTGCGTCACGTGATTTTGAAAAGGGAAGTTTGCTTGGGCACAACGAGACACTAACAGATCAATCTTGACACTTTATCGAATCAGGTTTTTTAATTGAGTTTTTCCACCAAACAGACTTAAGAAACACCAACAATGCTGCCAAAAATTCTCAATGTGAAAAACTGTTAAAACAAAATGTACAACCTGTTCTCAGTATCTCAGGGAACAGTTGTTTTCCTTTTTTAAATTAACTTGTCAACAATGTTTTTAAAGTAGTGCAAATATATAGGTCCGGAAGACACAATTAGTTATACCGCAAACATAACTCATAAGTTAATATAGATTTTTTAAAGTTTCGTCTGGTGCACACACATTCTCTTACACACACAAACACACCGATACATTGACAAAGAAATCCTGTAAATTATCAAATAATTTCAAAAAGCCATATTTGCTATTTTTAGATCTGGGAAACAGCGCCTTATAGGAGTAACAGATTTATGAACAACTGCTTTAATGACAGTTTTTGGCAGACTGAGGGGGTTGATTCCTGACGGCGGACTGAGATAAACAAAAGAGTGTGTGTGTGTGTCGCGGCCACTTGTCTGGCTGGGGAAATCCCTCGATCCATGAAGGGGTCTGAACACTTTCTGGTGAAGGTTCCCTTATTAAAGCTTGTCCCTTTCCCCCCCTTGAATAGTCCTCTGCTTTATTTATGTGGGAGCAAAGGAAGGGAGAGACAACAATAGCTGCCTCCCCCCCCCCCCTCCTCCTCCCCCTGAGGGACCCTAGTTTCCTCAGCTCGGAGCGGGGCCCCTCTCTGACACACTGACTCTTTTACATGATGTGAAACCCTACACTGAGCGCTAAACCTCGACAGCTTTTACCACAACAAAATAATAGACCCACTACCCCCCCCCCCCCCCCCCCCCCCCCCCCTTGTTTCTGTCTCTCTTTCGCATGCAGATGAAAACAACCCCCGAGCTGCATTGGTTTAGTTTTCTTTCATTTAAATGACATTTGTTTGTTTCACTGAATTCATGAGGTAGTAGGAATGGATTAATCCTGATTATGGCTTGTTTTCCATTAAAAAAAAATAAAACGCCTGTAGGAACACATCTTATTTAAAGCCCAAGACTTGTTTGAGACCCTCTATGACCGATGAGCGACCTGTATACATGTTTCTAATTTAATGGCACAGCAATTCGTCTTTGGTTTTATCTGCCTCAGCTGCCACAAACCTCAAGATTCACACCAAACCGAAACACTCATACACAATCAGATCTATGCGTTTACACACGAGCACGTATAGAAGGGAACAGAAGAGTGAAGCAGCTCGACTCTTCATATAGAAAAGGAGCAAAGTGTTGGTTCCTCTGAGCTGCGACACACTGATAAAATGCTACATTATTACACGCATGAAGCGGACTAAAGTTATAGGTATGTTTTGGTCTGCTGCCATAAGATTTTACCAGCCCATTATGCAACAATGCAAAGCAGAAAGCTAATATGATTAGCAGTTATTATGTTTTGTTGTGATGGTGTTAAATACAAACGGCCAGTATTAGTAAGTGGCAACAACTCATGATAACCTTTTGGGGCACTAATGGCACAGGATTCCACAAACACCTTGTCTCATCTCATTTAATACATTGCATGTCTATATTTTTGTTTCTAAGGTGTTTTTTTTTACAATTTAGCATTGTGAATAATAAATAAATAATCAAATAGCTATTTAAGTCACTGTTGTACAGCGATGGCCGCATTAGCTCATAGCTAAACCTCCAGCGCTGACCTTTGCCCTGCAGCTAATCACAGTCGCGCTGCCAGATTTTGAGCCCTGGGTGAGATTTTGACCCCTGGCTCGACTCGTGCTATCGCACCCCGGGGTGAGACTGAAAGGCTAAGTGTGGCACGAGGCCAGGAATAGTAACTCGCCTAATCAAAACCTCTTATGACTTTTAGCAAGAGCGAGAAAAAGGTCAAGGACTGAGGTCAAAATCCAAGGCCCATTCAGAAGAAAATTAACCTCTCAATACTAGAGCCTGTGTTATGTTGTTAAGAGTGCATTCAAATAAGTTTCACAGTATAAAGATGAGGAAAACAGTATACAGAATACATAGAACATTTATAATTATCTACAAAACCGTCTGAGCTTGATGAACTATAAAAATGGTAGCTTCCTTTTGCTGAAATCTAAGGTATATGTTGTCAGAGAAGTTTTAAAGCCCGCGCTGAATGAGCTTGTGAACAGTCAGTCACGAATTGCTACATAAATATACATATGATATGACACATATCAATGTGAGGTGACCTGTAGACGGATGTCGACCACTAGGTGATCGTCCATTGGTTCGATGTGTGCTTTTCTACTTCCGAGAAGAACCTTTGTAATGCAGGAACTTCGTCTTCTTCACTTTGAAGAAATCTGTAGAGGGAAAGAAAACAATGCAAAGTCAAGGAAAATAGAAAACAATGCAAAGTCAGGGGAAATAGATGTGTTGCATTGCACAAAATCTGCTGCTTGTCACTTTGCATAATGCCAAGGAACAGTTGGACTTCAACTCTTGGCAAGAAAAAGAGTAAGCATACCACAAATTGCGATTGCTTTATTTAAAGCATTTGGTGGACTAACCTGTGATGGTAGACTGTCTCCGTTTTTTTTGCCGTTGGATCCGGTAGTACTCCCTTGTGGACACCTCCAGATACTCGTCCCCACACCCGGACGAGCTGCTGGACCCCGGGGACGCCTCGCTTGACGAAGACAATGTCCGTCTTTTCCCCACCGACCTAACCGTGCAGCCGTGGTAAAACACCGGCACGTCCTGGTACCTGAGCGACTCCCACTGGATGGTGGACTCCTCTCCCGGCATATCGCTCTGGAAATTGAAGTTCCAGCGCTTGTTTGCCACCTCCAAGTTAACCGAGAGCAGCCGCTGGAAGTCCTGCTGCAGCTGCTGGTGGTCCACGGGCCCGAAGAGGTTCCTCCGTGACGGCCCCATCTTTAATGTCAAGTCTTCAATGCCCCCCAGGCGTGAAAGTCCTGTGTTAGATGCTGGTCCTGCTGATGGTGTTGATGGAGAGTCCATCGTCATGTCCCTGTGTGAGAGGAAGGTCAGAGGTTGAGTGTGAGGCCTGCAGAGTTTTATTGCGTTGTGATCTGTTTTTTTTTACTGGCATAGATTACTTCCAAACACACAAGCTATTAAGTGCCCAAACCCCCCCGACACACCAGCCCTCTTGTGTTTTATGTGATCAAATACACATGTGCCCTAACCTGCTGAGTAATTACTCCTCCAGCAACAGGTAACTGAACCAACACCAAATAAATCTCCAGCAGAATCCACTGCCCTGCCGTGTCAGAGGACCTGATTCTCCACCTGCTCTGGTGTCGGCCAGTCAAAGGTCCACCGTTAAGGTCTGCAGGTCACACACACACACACACACACACACACACACACACACACACACAGACAAAAGTCCCATATGGGCTTCGTGTGAGGAATGTTTCCCACATTCCCCAGCTGCTATCTGCATCTAAAATTCAATTAGAGCCATGCTTTCTCTTCAGAGATGGATTTTTAGCATGCTTTACCAGCTTGGTCTTATAACACCTACAGTCTATAGTGAGTTTTTCATGTAGGTGGAAGATAACCACATCCCTCTGTGCGTCAGTACTTTTATCAGCTGTGCGTAGGCCGCAAATGAAGACATGTGTTGTATGGGATGGGCTTTAGGGCTGAGAGATATATGGTTCTGCTGCTGATAGAAGATTACACTATATAAGGCGTAAAATGTGTATTTTCCTGATAGTAATTGTTGCATACTACTGGTCCAGATTTCTGAACAGAAATGCTTTTTTTTCCACTCAAAGACCATCGGAACATTTGCCCAAGCATTGTAGTAAAACATTTCAGTTGATATTGACAAGTATATGGTTCATAGATAGACTGTATGTGCATTCACCTCAATATATTTCTATCTCATCAAATCTGCACAAAGTAACTTGTGGATAAGGAAAGTGGGATGCTAAAGGAGGGTCCCATTGTGGGTTAAATCAGCCCTGCACCAAATATATATTTTACAGAAATACAAATAATTGGAAAGCCTTTATTGGCTTGCTTAACTAAGTACAAAAAAAGCGTTGGACAAGTGTTTGACACCAACAAAATACAGCTCTAAAGCACTTTCACAAGTCAAACAGCCTGTCATTTTACCATGTCTTATACTTTTTCAACCTGTTAAAAACCATGTGTTGGAAACCACAGAGGGCGACAAATTCACACATTTACTTAATGCGTACTACTGTAATTACTACTAATGATACATGTAAACCGTACAGCTTCATTTTTCTCATTTATATATTCTTTACACATGGATAAATAGGAAAAATACTTGATGTAGCAACACAAAACCAAAACCACAAGTGTTTTCTTGTAACTACAGGGCTGCTCTCTCCGAGTGAAAGTTGTTGTTTGTGTCGAAAAAGGAGTGGGCTCGGTTTGGAGATCAAGTTACTGCTCGGTGTCCCCACTTGCAGAAAAACACCGAGAAAACCCTCAGTATCTCACCCCAAACTCTGCAAAAAGTAACCACTATTTAAATGCACCAACTATTTCTGCAGCCACAAAGTATTATGGTGCAATATTGAACAAAATACCACCGGATATTTCACTTTAAAGCTGTAATGTGACTAAACTGTCGAGAAATATCTTGGTGACGCAGTTAGATTCACTGCTGCGGATGTGGGTCAATGAGATGCGACCGACACCCTGCATCCCAACACTCATATTACACACAAAACATCAACAACATAATGATTTAAATATGACCAGCAACACAGCATTAAAAAACGTTAACACGAGCATTGGCTATCCAAATTGTGTACTAACGTCTGCCAAAGCGATTAAAATCTACCAAAACCGCATACATTTTGGGTCAAATGTATCTATAAAAAATGAACCTAAAGAAGAATACGTAAGAGAATAATGGAATGTAAAAAAAAAAGCCGTATATTTCCGTCTTACCATCCGCGTCAATATCTTAAAGTATTAAAAATGTGTACTAACGACTGCCAAAGCGGTACCGTTAAAGTCTACAAAAACTTCAATCATTTTTGTTCAAATGTATACATAACAAATACAAAATAGACCCAAATAAGAATGAGTGAAAGAATAATGTAATATAAAGTCAATAAAACGTACATTACCGTCTCAAAGTATTACAATGTGTACTAACGACTGCCAAAGCGGTTAAAATCTACTAAAACTACACACATTTTAGTTCAAATGAATCTCTCACAAATACAAAATAAACCCAAATAAGAATAATGTAACATAAAGTCAATAAAACGTACGTTACCGTCTCAAAATATTGACATGTGTACTAACGACTGTTATAGCGGTTAAGAACAACTACAACTCCATACATTTTAGTTCAAATCTTTATATAACAAGTACAAAATAAACCCAAAGAAGAATACGTGAAAGAATAACGTAACATAAAAACAAGAAAGCGTAAATGTCCCTCTTACCATTCGCGTCAATATCTCAAAGTATTCAATAGTTTCGTCCACAAACTCGTCACAGTTTATCCAGAGGAATGTGATGTGCTTTCTGACAGCTCCGTGAAAACAGAGTCACGTTGAAGGGTTTTAGAGCCACTGCCCACGGGAGGGTCCTCCTTCTTGTCGTCTTATCTAATACTTGTTGTCTGTACTGTAGAAGTGCACACGAGACCGCGGGGACGTTCCTACTACTGGAACAGTCACGTGGTCTCCCTTTTAAAAACAGTCAGCACGTAAACAACCCGATAACCGAACACAAGATACAATACTGAGCATTGATGCAAAACAAAGGAGGAATATTTAAACAGAAAAAAAGCCTTGCATTAAAAATGTTACTCAAGTAAAAGTATAACCAGAACTCGTTATAAATGCAGATTGGCCCGTTTCAGAATAATATGTATTATGTTTTAGTAGGCTATTATTGATGCATTATTGTGTTGTATCAATGATGGTAACGTGTGGTGACTTATTTTAATCACTTTGTATTCTGCTTGTGAATGTTAATCCAGGTGTAACTAAAATGTTATAAGTGTTGTTTATATTTCACATTATTAATCCAAATTTGCAAAGCAACTAAAGGTATTAAATAAATGTAGTGGACAAATAAAGTACAAGACAGTACACAATTGTACATAAGTATACTTGAGTAAATGTACTTACAGTAGTCACTTCCCACCTCTAGGTGTAAAGAACATACTGTACATTTAACTTTGAGAGACTTGTACTTAAATTGAGTATTTCCACTTTTTGCTGCTTTGTACATCTACCTCACTACAATTCAGAGGTTAATAGTGTACTTATACTCCACTACATTTATTTAACTGCTTTAGCTTCAGTCAAAATACTCGAGTACATTTATTACAAGTAAAAGTTGTGCATTCAAAATTGTACTTGAGTACAAAAGTATTATAAGCAAAATATACTTAAAGTATACAAAATAACTACTTTTACTTGAGGAACATTTTGAACGCAGGACTTTTACTTGTAACAGAGTATTCCTACACTCTGGTACTTCTACTTTTACTTAAGTACAATATCTGTGTACTTCTCCCACCTCTGAAAAACAGCTGGTTAAATTGAGGCTATAAAAATGTAATTATGATTGTTAATAGTTTCTTACCCTGGTATAGTAATGCCCTGTTTTCCTCCTGCTCTCAACCTGTTCCTCCTGTACTGTTTCCTCACTTCTCCTTCAGAGCGAGAAGTAGCCTAGGTCAAAGATCTTGGGCATTTCCCCTTACCTAAGTGTGACACATTCTCGTGTTGCGCTTGCATCACGTTTTGTTTACTCTGTACTTTTCCTAGTCACGTTGAAATGCAATGTGCGCTTTGTTTCTACCAGGGTTACGACATTCTGTTAAGCATATTTGTATAAGAACAAAGTCATGTTTCAGTTCATGTGTATGACATCATCAGAATGTGCCTGAGTGAAAGAAACGTGGTCATGCTAATGAGCATGCGCAGATTCAATAAACGGTCCGTACTCCAGGCCAAACTCTGAGCGATGTGGTCGTGTGTGTTTTTCTGTCCGTAGCATACTTACAAACTACTTTGGTTGACTGAAAACGTGGAGACTTCTGCTGAATATAATGTCTCACGCAACAGGTTATGGGCCCAGTCAAGGAGGCCAAAGGTGGTTTAAGTTGTTATTCGACGGTGACGAACTTTGAGTTATGGGAGACAAGGTTTTTGGCGCAGATGGAACTCCGCGGCCTCAGTGAAGTTATCCTGGAAGAGCCAGCGATAGACTACAACAACGAACAAGCACTTGAAGAAGACGCAACAAAGAATGCAGAAGCATATGCTGAATTAGTGCAGTGTCTAGATAATAAGAGTTTATCACTCATAATGAGAGACGCAAAACGAGATGGAAGAAAAGCGTTGGCAATACTCCGAGAGCACTACGCAGGAAAGGACAAACCACGAGTCGTGAGCCTGTACTGTGAACTCTCTTCTCTCCACAAAGCAAGCAACGAGACTGTTACTGATTATATTATTCGAGCGGAGACTATATTCACGTCTTTGAGAAGGGCCGAAGAAAATATCAGTGAGGGGTTGCAGATTGCCATGGTAGTGAAGGGGTTACCGGACTCATTCAACCCGTTTGTCGTGCACGTCACTCAAACCAACGACCGTCTAACGTTCGGTGACTTCAAAGCTAAACTGCGGAGCTATGAGAGCACTGACAAATATAGGACGAGTGACATGAATGCGGATGAGGACGGCGTTATGAGGACTAGCGGGGCAAGGACACGAGGACGTGGAAGAGGGAAGAAGATGGACTTGGCCGACACGGAATGCTACACATGCGGAAAGATGGGGCATATAGCTAGGACATGCCCTAACGAGATCCAAGCGAGGCGAGAGGAGCGACGGTGGGACACGCCACACCGAGGAAGGGGGCGAGGCCGAGGCAGAGGGCTGGGCCGTGATCAGGTGAAGAAGGCAGACGGAGACACGGAGGATGATACCGGTGCATCATTCTTTTTCAAAATGAGTGACTGTCAAAATCAAGTAGGAAATAAGAGAGGTCTTATGGTCGACTGTGGTGCCACGACGCACATGATTAATGACCCGGAAAAGTTTAAGACAATCGATAAGAGCTTTAGACCCGAGGACCATGTGATAGAGCTGGCAGATGGAACGAAAACGACCGGGATGGCGAAGAAAGATGAGGGGAGAAGCCGAAGTTGTTCTGCTCGACAGCGAGGGACGGCAAGTGAAAACGAGGCTCAAACGAGCGCTTTTCATCCCATCTTTTCCACAGGACATTTTCTCCGTGAAAGCAGCGACAGCCAGTGGAGCTGAGGTCCGCTTCAAGGACGGTGATGATTGGCTGATTCATCAAAATGGTACCAAGTTTAAAATGGATGTGTATGGTAGGCTATATTACCTTAGCACAGTAGAGGATGAAAATACTGATGATGTTTGTAATGGTTGTCATGACATCCAGACATGGCATAGAATACTTGGTCATTGTAATTTTGAGGATGTGTCTAAACTAGAGAAAGTGGTTAAAGGTATGTCGATCAAAGGGAAACATGACATGTCTAACCATAACTGTGAAATATGTACGCAGGGAAAATTTACTCAAAGCAGAAACAGGCAGGCAGATGTAAAAGCTAAGACAGTACTGGAGCTAGTACATACAGACCTATGCGGTCCAATAGAACCAGCAGATAAAGACGGGTACAGATATGCAATAGCATTTACTGATGATTATAGTGGGATGATTTTTCCCTACTTTATCAAAGCAAAGAGTGATACAGCAAAAGCTACTGAGAAATTCATAGCGGATACTGCTCCATATGGACACATTAAGTGCATAAGATCTGACAACGGTACTGAATTCACCGGGCATGAGTTTCAAACTTTACTTAGGACGAAAGGGATAATGCACGAGACAAGTGCACCATACTCACCTCACCAGAACGGTACTGCAGAGAGAGGTTGGAGGACCTTATTTGAGATGTCACGATGCATGCTATTAGAGAGTAACCTCCCAAAGCAGTTATGGACATATGCTGTACAAACCGCAGCACAGATACGTAACAGGTGTTACTGTAAGCGTCTAGAGCAGACACCATACCGTGTTTTTACTGGCAAAACACCCAACTTGTCCAACATGAAAATATTTGGCTCTGAATGCTACGGGTATAAGCAGGATAAGAAGAAGCTAGATTCTAGATGTGCAAAGGGTATTTTTGTAGGATACGACAAATATAGCCCAGCATTCCAAGTATTTTATCCTGAGACAGGGAAAGTCCTGAAACATAGGCTGGTAAAATGTATCACAAAGAGTAGCGCAGATAGTCAGACTCAGACAAATCGTAATATGGATGATGACACTTATGGAGAAATTATTCCCACAACACCAGCAGGGACAAAAATGGTCAACCAGAATCAGAGAGAGCCTAATGTGGGTGTACAGTCCGATAGTGAGGAGAATATTGAGGCTAGTCAGATCCAGACAGATGGTACTCAAAGAGAACAGGGAGAGAGTGCACGACGCTATCCCACTAGACAAAGAAACACTCCAGAATATTTATTGGAGTATCAGTGTAAGGCTGATTGTAATGATGAAGGTGAAAATGTAGATTATTTCTACAGAGTTGCTTGTGACGTACCCAAAACATACATGCAGGCTGTAGGCTCTAAGAAATCAAAAATGTGGGCTGATGCAATGAAAGAGGAGATTAACTCTTTAGCAGAGAATGAGACCTTCAGTCTGACCACACTGCCAAAAGGCAGGCAAGCAGTGGGAGGTCGTTGGGTATATGCAGTAAAGGAAAGCCCAGATGGATCTGAGATTTTTAAAGCCAGATATGTAGCTAAAGGCTATAGTCAAGTAGAGGGAATTGATTACAAGGAAACTTTTTCACCGACAGCAAATATGACTTCTGTACGTACATTGATGCAGGTGGCTATACAGGATGATCTTATCCTACACCAAATGGATGTGAAGACAGCTTATCTCCATGCACCAATAGACTGCAAGTTATATATGGAACAGCCCGAAGGTTTTGAGGCAAAATCTAAAACAGGGGAACACTTAGTGTGCAAACTCAACAAGTCATTGTATGGTTTAAAGCAATCCGGGCGGAACTGGAACAAGTTACTGCATGATCATCTTACAGAGAATGGGTTTGTGCAAAATGATGCTGATCATTGTGTCTACAGAAAAGAGTCTGAGAACGAAAGAGTTATTCTGTTGATATGGGTAGATGACCTACTCATAGCAGCCAATAACAACGGCTCACTCAGTGATGTCAAAGAGATGTTGAAGAGGAAGTTTAAAATGAAAGATTTGGGTGAACTTAAACACTTCCTAGGTATCGACTTTACACAGAGTGAGGGGGAGATCAAAATGAGCCAAAAGAGACACATAGCAAAGATGCTAGAGAGGTTTGGCATGTCAGAGTGCAAACCAAGGTCAACTCCATGCGAGCAAAAGTTACATTTTGACACTGAGGGTGAAGTTATCGATTCAACAGGATACAGAGAGATAGTAGGTAGCTTGATATACATTATGACATGTACTAGACCTGATCTGAGCTGGATTGTGAGTAAACTATCACAACACTTAGCAGAACCAAAACAACAACATTGGGCTGCAGCAAAACAACTGTTGAGGTATCTAAAGGGTACTATAGACCAAGAGCTACATTACAAGAAAAGTGAGGAAAGCCTAAAGCTTGAGGGATACAGTGATGCTGATTGGGCAGCCGATCAAAATGATAGGAGAAGCACAACTGGATATTGTTTCAGCTTAACTGAAAATGGTCCAGTTATATCCTGGAAAAGTAGGAAGCAGCCAACAGTGGCGCTATCGACCTGTGAGGCCGAGTACATGGCATTAGCGGCTACTACTCAAGAGAGCATGTACCTTGTACAGCTATTAAAAGGGGTAGACCTTAATAGCCCACATGTACCAGTGAAGATATATGAGGACAACCAGGGAGCAATAGCTCTATCCAAAAACCCTGTATCCAGACAGAGAAGCAAGCATGTAGACATCAAATACCATTTTGTACGATCTGCATATGCTGAGGGGAAGATATCTATTACATATTGTCCTACTGCAGATATGGTAGCTGATGTCCTAACCAAGCCGTTGACAAAGGCAAAATTTGACAAATTCAAAGGGTATTTGTTTGGAAAGTAATGTGAATTGCAGGTGTACAAATTGAACACTGCTAGAGAAGTTTTTTTTGTTTATTTGGATTCTGTGTACCACTGAGAGTTATTAACATGTCTTTGAGTGGGAGTGTTAAGCATATTTGTATAAGAACAAAGTCATGTTTCAGTTCATGTATATGACATCATCAGAATGTGCCTGAGTGAAAGAAACGTGGTCATGCTAATGAGCATGCGCAGATTCAATAAACGGTCCGTACTCCAGGCCAAACTCTGAGCGATGTGGTCGTGTGTGTTTTTCTGTCCGTAGCATACTTACAAACTACTTTGGTTGACTGCAAACGTGGAGACTTCTGCTGAATATAATGTCTCACGCAACACATTCCCATGGATGTATAGGCTACTTAGGTATTTGAGGTGGACGAAACACTCAGACTTCACCATTAGTTTGACTGTAGAAGAAGTGAAGAGAAAACACTGCCAATCCCCCCAATACTGAAAAATGTTGATTCAAAGTTTATGACTTCTTGACCCTCATTAGTCAATTTAGAGTCTACATTGACTAATG